ATTGAAAGTAAAGAACCTATGGGCTGACCTGTGGTAGAGCATTGGCACTGTAAAAGACAGTCACTATAAAAGGAGCCTAGAAACTACTGGTTTACTGAAAGTAGTAGAACTTTATTTACCCAAAAATATAATTAATATCTTGCTTTTTATTTGCAAAGTTTTTATTGAAAATAAATTATGTTTTCCAAAAATTTGCTACAACCTTTAGCTCGAAGAAATCCTGGAACTGTTCTCTTGAGCAGCAGTTTTCCTCTAGCTCAGGGAATTCTGCTATCAGGCTGACCTTCTGAAATGTACACCCTGGTATGTCACTTCTGGGTGATCATCATGCCTACAGCATTTGTGCACATCCCTAACAGCCTAGGTGCTTTGTCCAATGTGGCCTAGTCCTCAGTCCATCTCTCTTGTAAGGCTCTTTGCTTCCATTAAAGCAGATGACTTACCTCTTTGCAGCCAGGTGACATATGAAAACACACTGATTAACTAACCAAGGCTACATTCCAGCAGCTCCTGCTGAAATCGATCTCCAGGAGTCCCAGCGAGACCATAGCCAGTTCACATCTCAAGCCTTTTGCACAGCCTGTTCCTTTGTCCTAAGTAAGAAAGATACTTATCTTTTCCTGTGAAGAGCTTTGTGTCCCTGTTCAGTATTTTCCCATTTTGAGATCCTTTCGTTGATTCAGGGATCCATGGCCAGTTCTGATTTACTAAGACTCTGTTGTATTAAACAAGTAAGGGGGAAAAAAGGGGGAAAGTCACTGATAATAAATATTTAGATCAAATCCCTGCTACCTAGGAGATTGCCTGGCATTTATATGCCCAGTGAATATTAGTTAAATTGAATAAGTATTTGTCAGAGAATTAGAAGTCACTAAAACACAGACTACTTCCATTATGTTGAGAATGATTTTATGTGATTTAAAGGCATTTATGGCATTTTTCTGTACTTCACGCCTATTACAGGACAAATCTTATTATGCTGCAGTGGAAGGAAGAGGATTCTATAATCAGATTAATTGAACTTCCAATTATATTTATTTCATCAGTTTCCTCTCCTGGGTACTGCTCTTGTCTAAAGCTAGTATTCTGAAAGATCTGTGCCTGCCAGAATAGGGAGTGGGTGGAGATGGGCAAGAGGAAGAACTGGATATACTATTTTGTTGATAAACCAAGAATTAAGTACTTGAACTGCCCGTCCCTGTCCTATGGGACAAAGTACCCCAAAAGCAGTTAGTACCATGTGTTCCTGAGATTTTTTTCATTTCCTAGTCACAGGCCCCACCATGTTGATGGGGTTAAATTGATGAGCGTGTTAGTAATGATGGAACCCAACCCGATTCTCTAGCAGTCCTCTTATGTGATCTCTCAGACAGAGGGAAACTGTATGTGAATCAGCCTTCCGACGGCCTTCTTGCCTGGCTCTCACATAAGCACAGGTAATGGTGATATCATGATTACAATTTCTCTGCCACAATTACATTTTAATGATGTAGTCAATATTTCCTGTAAACAAATTCTTTTGACACAGGTCAAGGCATTATTGTGAGTAATAATGAAGATTGTAGTCTTTTCAAATGAGATTTGCCAAAATCAACTTGTAGTGTTTTTCTTTTATGCCCATCCTTAGCCAAGGTAATAACGATGTGGTAATAAGACTTCTTTATAATTTAAAGCCACTTTTCTAACATTATTAGTTCAATCTCAACAATCCATTGTAGTTGCTGTTATTTCTTTGCAGAAGAAGAGTCTGAAGCTAATGAATGTTTTGATCACATAGCAAGAAGGAGACAGAGCTAGAACTTGAGCCCAGGAAAGTTTGGCTTTGCTTTCCTCAGCCCGCCACAGTTGTCTAAGAGTGGGTGTAGAATATAGGTGAGGCACTCATGCTGACAAACTGTGGAGTGTAATGGACAGTGTTTGTTCTGGGTTTACGACTAAAACAAGGCACAAAACTATTAAAATCTTGGAAATAAACTCTAAAACAAAACTCAGAGAAACAAATTATTCATCTGGGGAAGCAAAGGCTGAGGAGCGGTTTAATAATAAGTCTTTTGGTCTCCTAAGGGCCTTACCGAGGGAGGAGAGTGAGCCCAGCTGTTCCTAATCTACACTGGGGCCAGGCCTAGGGAGGAAAAAAAGCAAAGAAAAAATGTTAAACTATAACAGAAGGAATAAGAAAGAATTTTTTATAGTATTGTTAAATATTGGATCTGTTAGACTGTGTTAAGTCTTAAGTCTCCTTTCCTGGCAGTCATTAAAAATTCCTCTTTACTACATGGTCTCAAGTATGATTTCTCTAGAAAGGAGGATTTTGAAAAAGATTATGTGTCTGAGAAACTATTCTCTGACAACTCATTAAGTATCAGTGAAGCACTGGAGGCCGACGTAGCTTCCTGACTGTCCAGCTAGGTGTGTTCCCACACTTTTCACCCAGTGCTTTGACTGCCTACCTCTCTCCGCCATCTCATACAGCTTCACAGTTGTTCATTCATGAGCAGCTCCTGTATGCAGCCAGTCTTCGTGGTGAATTCTAGAGTGGTGAGATTAAGATATTTATGTCCTCTACTCTGGAACTCTAACAATCCTAGTCTTTAGAGATACGTAAATTAACACACTGACCATGTAAAGCAAGCCTCACATCTCATCTGCTCCTTGGCTAGGAATGCTACCTCTCCAATTCAGCACTGGGGAGCAGGTATGCGATGAATGGGACAAGCAACCATGTAGTTTTGTGTTAGCTGATCAAATAGTGCTAGTTTATTTTTCCTCTTTGTACATAATGTTAGTACGTTAGGAAAAATATCACCTAGTTCTATTTACTTGATTGCTTCTCTTTTTAGGACTTGTATGATACCCTTATGTGAGAGCCAGGAAATGTCTTTTTCTCTGAATTCCAAGATCCAATAATGATCAGGATTTTTGTGGAATCAATAATGGCCTTAAATTTCACAAAGACTACTTAATAGAAAGAGACATGCTGAGTCAGTGAGGTTTATACCAGCTTTTATAGATGAAGTGATGAAAACCAGCTAGAAACGAATGATAGGAAGAACATGCGGTATTGAGGCATATAGATGATAGGAATGGGAAAAAAGATGAATTTTGCTTTGAAACTGACTAACCCAGAAGTTCTCAAAATCTCTAGAGCACTTATGAGAAATGTGAGCTGTGGAGGGCCCATTACATATCTAGTAAATCAGAATTCTTAAGAGTGGAACTCAGCATCTAACAGATCCTGTGAGTGGTTCTGATAAGCTCTCAAATTTGAAAACCACTGTAGTAGAGGGACAGGGAAGGAATAGAGTATATAGAATACACAAAGAGACATGTATTTTTCTTGTACATTTTTATATCTCTTATCAATTGAAAACTATGAAAATCAGATTCTTGTTATAGAGAAAGCTGAATTCATTGTGAGGAGATATGGACCACCAGAAGATTGTATCACTGCCTTCCTCATTTAATATTTAACTAGGTAAATTTTATTAGAAATGCCTGGACTTATAAAAATCTGCACCCAAACTCTTGGTCCCATGTGAACAGGATAGCCACCAAGGCATCTCACAGAAACCTTTGACTTTGAAAACTGGTTGCATATATTCATATATTTCCCATGTTAGAGCACTGAGTCCCAATCCAGTCATTTTTTTACTCCGCTCAATTACTTTTATTTAATTCTTTTCAAATGGTGTCAGGTCTCTCACCCCACTTTAGATTTTGACATTCTTCCTTTGTCCCCATTGATAGGTGTATAACTTACACCACCATTAACTTCTCACTAGACCAACCTAACAGCCTGTTAAGTGGTCAGTGTGTTTCCAGGCCTTCTCAGAGCCAGCAGACATCTATGAATGGCCAGAGCAGGTGTCTACAGAGCAAATCTTATTAGCTTATTAGGAGTGTTCACTGAATCCTGTTACCTTCCTGGAGCTTCTATCCTAGAGCCTTTAGGACCCATCTCTTGCTTTCCTTTGCAGCTTTCTGCTTGTTCTTGTGCTTCTGGCTCTTCATAACACCTCTGCCTAATTGTTTTTAGTTTCATAACCATATTGACCCTGCTGCTTCTTCTCAGGGACCTGTCTCCAGAAATGTGGATAGAGGCATAATGTCCTAGATTTCCCCTTGAAAATCAGTTACCCCATCTGCTTACCTGTTTCTATAGCATGTCCTTACAGTCCCCCTCTTTTAACCTAGGTCACAACTATCTCTCATTCTACTACATATCAGAGTCTCCGTCACAGCTGATAAATAGCAGATGGACCACAAACATGGTTGAGTAAATAAGAATCTGTTTTTATGGTGACTGGAAATCATTTTAAAAGTTAGCAGGTAGAATTTGTGTGTGCTGTTCTAAGCTTTCATTCTGCTCTTTTATCCATTTATCAAGCAATTCTAAAATGTCTTTATGTACCAGGAACTAGGTGCCCTGATTCTACTCTGATAATACCCAAATATTCTTAGCATCATTGCTTACCGTGTAGTAGAGGAAATAGACAATTAGAAAGTACATTGTGTCCAAAGTCTAGAGGCCAAAAAAGGAAAGTGGGATGCTAAGGGAACCCCAGAAGGGCATCCAAGCAAAATTAGAGCCAGGAGGAAGTGGTACTTGAGCCAGTACTTAGGTTTTTCAGCTGAAGAATGGGGACACATGCTCCAAGCAAAGGAAGAAGAAGAAGAAATACATGTTATGAAGTGGCAGGGGTGCTTTAAAAAAGAACTGAGGCACCTGTTCGGAAAGACTTGTGTTCCAGAATGACTCCAGGGGTGGACACTGTCTGATGGGTCAAAAGAAAGATGAAGCAACTAGAACTAACCCCAGTGGAGGGGAGAGCAGCCAAACTAGGAAATGGGTTCTAGCAGTTAGGGAGTGATGACTGCGTGAGAAAAAAATATTTTGGACAAAGAGCTGACACTCATTGGCAGTAGATTAGATCAGATTATTTTCGTGAGTGAGGAAAGGCCTCTCCTGTCTCTTTTTAATCCCCTTTTCTTTACTGTAGCTCCTGGCAAGTATGAGGCGAGGGTCTCTTGAAGCAAACATGCAGGAGAGCTCTCCACTGCCATGTGCATAGGCTGCTGAGTCCTGAAGGGACCACAGGAACAGGGGGAAAGGTGAGTGCTCCCGCAGAAGGAGATTGCCCTTTTTATAGGAGAGTCATTCTTCATGTCTGGTTTAGTGCAAGTCGTCAGCAAGCAACCTTTATTATTCAAGGCTCATTTTGCTTCCTGTGTTTGAACTTGTTAAGCATAAGGTCTCTGCCACTAATTCAATCTAGGACACATGAGCAGCATTAAAATTCACTTCTTGAGAATGTCTTGTGTTGTCAGAGATAGTCCTCATTTCAAGAGGTACAAATTTGGTTTATGATGTTTTCAGTTGTTTTACTATCTAATAGATAACATTTAATGTCTACCTTTAAATAAAGTTCATAAGATAATAACATTTGAAGGGAATTGGAGGGTCATTTTAGTCTCTAGCCTAGTGTTTTGCATGGTGAAATAACCAAGGTGGAGAGAGGATCAGGTAAAAACCCTGGTTTCAGATCCCATGTCCCACTGGCAGCAGCTTATGTACACAAGATCCATGCCTTAGTGTGAGCCTGGGTTCTGGATTTTACTGCAATGGGCCTCTTAAAGGCTTGAGATCGTGTTTAAGTTTGGTGTGCTGAAAATTCACTTTACTGTGTTTTTTCTCTTAGCTTTATTATTATGCAGTTGAAAAGGATTAGATATATAAAGTAAATAACATGATGACCTCATATATGTATATATTTTGAGATTAGTACCACTATTAAACAAACATCCATTACAGCTCATCGAGTGCATGCGTGCATGTGTGTGTTTGAAGACACAATCGTAGCCGTCTTCAAAGATGCATGCTGTCTTAGTAACTGTAGTAGCCATGCTGTACAAAAAGTTTGCAGAATTTATTCATTTTCTAACTTAGAATGTGCATTTGGTGAGAATGTCTTCCCATTTTTGCTATTAACATGGCAAGCACAAGTTTACCCTCAGCTTCCTAGAGTTCTACATGTGTAGATTCTATATGAAAGTAGATGAAGCAAAGGACCCACTTAGACAGACACTAAAGCTAATTTGGGTTTTGGCTCGAGTTTGATGGCTCATTCATAGGATATAAGAGATCTCCACTGATCTTTGTACCAACTGATACAGTGAAGGGCTTTTTTTTGCCATGTTAGAAATCGTAAATTATTTGTGAGGCATAACTACTGAACTACTGTACTAACATTAATTAACTTTTTAGAATTCACTTATTATTTTGATTCTCCTTTAGCATCTCATTCTTTATTTGTGCATCTATGAAATTGTTATAGTATAATCTTTACTCATAGTAAAGTATCTTTACTCATGCTTTTTATTAAGTACTTTACAGTGTACGTATCCAAAATACACACTAGTATTTCATTAGTGAAATGTAAGTATATTTGAGAAAGATTAAGTGACTACTTGAAAAATACACCATTGAATCCCATAAAAGTACTGAAAATCACCATGTGGTCTTGATTTAACCATCTATTGCCATGTTCTATGGAAATTATTCTTCTCCATTTGATGTGTTACTCTGCCTTATTGTTAGTTTCAGGATTTTAATCTGTCTGACAGCATATTCAACCAAGGAGTATTACGTAGAGGTAGATTTCTGCAATCAGTAAATAGCTGTCCTTCCTCATCTCGCTCTTCTCTCTCACCTCCTACCCTTGATTCCCTTGCTCAGAAGGGGTAACAGGTGGGGCATGAAGCAAGACATAAAGAAGGGAAGAGAAGAGAGGTTCTGATTATGAAGAGATTGTTTGTTGTTTTCCCTCTGTAAACAGCCCATCTGTGTGAGCCCAGCAGCTGAGGCAGTAATAGAAGATTGCTGTTGCTTGATGCTCCCTAATTGTCTTTTTCCTAGACTGTTCCAGAGAAGACATGGCTGGCAGAGAGGAGAAGACGAAGAGTGCGAACAGAGTGCTGAGGGTCAGTCAGCTGGATGCCCTTGAACTGAACAAGGCTCTGGAGCAGCTCGTGTGGTCCCAGTTTACTCAGTGCTTTCATGGATTTAAGCCAGGGCTCTTAGCTCGCTTTGAACCAGAAGTGAAAGCATGTCTGTGGCTTTTCCTATGGAGGTTCACCGTCTACTCCAAAAATGCCACTGTGGGGCAGTCAGTTTTGAATATTCAGTACAAAAATGATTTCTCTTCCAATCCAAGATACCAACCACCAAGTAAAAATCAGAAACTGTGGTACGCTGTGTGCACCGTTGGGGGTAGATGGTTAGAAGAACGATGTTACGATTTGTTTCGAAACCGTCATTTAGCATCTTTCGGGAAAGTCAAACAGTGCATGAATTTTGTGGTTGGACTTGTAAAATTAGGTGAGTTGATAAACTTCTTGATTTTTCTACAGAAGGGAAAGTTTGCAACTTTGACAGAACGCCTCCTTGGCATTCATTCTGTATTTTGCAAGCCCCAGAACATGCGTGAAGTTGGCTTTGAGTACATGAATAGGGAACTTCTCTGGCATGGTTTTGCTGAGTTTCTGATTTTCCTATTACCACTCATCAATATCCAGAAGTTGAAAGCCAAATTGTCTTCCTGGTGCATACCCCTTACCGGCACTGTTAGTGACAGTGCGCTAGCCAGCAGTGGCAAAGAATGTGCTCTATGTGGAGAGTGGCCCACAATGCCTCACACCATTGGATGTGAACACGTGTTCTGTTATTACTGTGTTAAAAGTAGCTTCCTATTTGACATGTACTTTACCTGTCCTAAGTGTGGCATAGAAGTGCACAGTGTGCAGCCACTGAAATCAGGAATTGAAATGTCAGAAGTGAATGCTCTTTAGAAACCAAATTGTTTCCTCTGCAGGAAAATGTATTGTGTGTCCTTGGTATTAGTCATCATCAATGTCATGTGTAGGTGTCTTTGAAAAGGCGTGTGCTGCTCAGCCACTGTCCTCTTCTTTTCTAAGAGCCACTAAATTCTAATCACTGGAAACTAAATGATATGAGAGAATCTTATAAATGTTCAGGTTATTTTTTTTAAATCATCTATTAAATTTTTTAATGTCAAGAATAATGGGGAATTTTTGTCAGATGAATACTGAGAATGACTAAGAATGCTTCTTCATAGAAAAGGTCGAACTCTAAAAATAAAAGATTTTTGAGACTCTGAGATGAGTATGCATTTATTTTCAGAAATGACAGAATGTCGTAAGCCAACATCACAAGACCCTGTTATGTTAAACTTCAGGTCTAACTGAACTATTTCCTGAATCCAGTTTTCAAGAGGTTTAGCCCCTAGCTGCAGACCCCTTTAGAGTTGAATTCTTATATTCACAAGGTTAAAAAAGTGCTTAACGCAGCCTAGAAGCGAGGTTTGGGGACTATGGGACAGCTAGTCTGTTTCCTAAGTCTATATCTTTGGTCTCACCAAGTGTATTGGTAATTTTGTGAAATACTGGAAGTCTTTTGGGTGCTAGGGTAAAGTAGCAATGCATGTCAAGTAACTTCTTCTCTCTGAAGATCTCACTAAATGAACCCTTTGTTAAATAATATGAAAATATTGGTGCTGTTTTTAATAACTTTGACAAAATAATAGCACTTATCTTTAAACAGTGTCAATTTTGTGCCTTTATAATATGCTAGAATCTAATTAGTTCACATGTTAAATAGTATCAGTGTACTTTGTATATTATAAAATATATATTATCTATATATATTTCTGGAAATTAACAAATTAGCTTGTGTTGATCACTCTCAAGTCTTAATTAGAGTATATTAAAAGATGGTTTTTAAGGAACAAACCTAGAAACATGAATATGTGATGTGGTATACTGGTGAACATCTGTGTTCATATTTCACTCAACACTTAAGATATGAATGCAGCTGGAGATATAGCAGTGAACAGGAAAAGTAGCATACTCAGTCTGTCCATTCACCTAATGTTGAGTCGGTGCAGCATCAATTTAGTGTAAGCGAGGTGAGGTGCTTCACAGTTTGAGAAGAATGTATCTAAAATTTATCTTTTTTTTTCTTATTATAAAACTTTGTTGTGAAAAACTGAAAATTCAGGATAATATACAATTTTCAAATATAGATGACAATATCCACATGTATTTCATTCCCCGTATTGAACATACATTTCTTATTTCAACATTCCTTAGCCTTGTAAGGCAGCTCAGCACTGTTTTCTTTCTCATAGAAAGAAATGACACAAATTATTACTTAGGACTCTGAGTTCCCACTAGATAAAGCAACAGAGCTGGCCAAGGTGACCCAGTGAGGAAAAGCACCTGCTGCTGATTCTCACATTCTGAATTTGATCCCCAGAATCTAGATGATAGACGGAAAGAATGATGTCTTCTGAGCACCATGTATGCACTGTGGAGTGTGTGTGCATGCACACATATGTGTGTGTGAGAGAGAGAGACAGAGAGAAGGAGGGAGGGAGAGAGAGAGAGAGAGAATGATCTCCAACTCAGATTGTTTTGGGTAAACTGAAAATAATTTGCTGATATACCGAAGTGAAGAATACAAGACAACTCTTCCCATCTGGGCGTAGATGCAGTGTCTTTAAGAAGGCTGGCGGGATGGCTCAGGGGGGTAACGTTGCTCTCTTTGCCTACGACGGAGCCTGAGGGTCTCAATCCCATCTTGAAAATCCACATGCCTGAAGGGGAAAACAGACTCTCACGAGCTGTCATTTTACCGCCACACATGCCACAGTACATGTGTATACACACATGAAACTAAATGTAAAAATAAAAATTGATTTTTCACAGGCTCACTCCCTGAATTCTCAATTTTCTGATCAGCAGTTTGTATGGGCTGAGGGACAAAGGCATAAAGTTGGCTTCAAACCCTGCTTGTGCCATTTCTGTATACATCCAGTACAGTATGTGCCAAACTTCTTTAGAAGGTATGTTAGAAATACATGTGTAGGACACCATTTAGTTAGCTTTTTGTCACTGAAAACCATGCTCTAGAAAACAAAGGAGAAAGGACTTATTTGGGTACATGATTTCAGAGCTTTCAGCCCCATAATCCTAGCTCCATTCCTTCTAGCTATAAGGGAAAGCAGAATACCATGGGAGAAGCCATTGTGGAACAGAGACGGCCACCTCATGGCACACAGGCAGAGTAGATCAACTGTTCTTTGCTCACTTCCAAGGACCAGCCTCCCCTAACTAGGCCCCACCCAATTTCTTCCACCTGTCAATCATGACATCAAATTATTAAGTCCACTGATGGGTCAGAGGCATCATAATAAAGTTAAGTCAGCTGGCAGCCATACACACATAAGAAAACAGTTCAGATTCAAACCACAGCAGAAGTGAGAGTAGGAATTCTTCCCATGACTGTTGTCATTAATATTCCAAATTGATTTTATTCTCAGGAAAAATATGGACCTCTTCAGAAGTTTGAGGTTTCTATTCTGCCAGCTTTCTGATCCTGTTAGGTTGACACCCTCTTGCCAAGTAACACAGCAGAACTACAGTAGTCATTGTTATGCCCAGCTTTAGATTACATGCACATTCCTAAACAGTCATGATAGACGGGGGTAGATGTGCACTGACATGTCTTCTTGTATACCCCATGAACCTACATGCTGTGGGCAGACTGGCCACGCTAAGAAACTGAAATGCTCTTATGGGGAAGATGGACATTGGGCAGGGAAAAACAATATTTTAACAGTTTTCTGGTATGACAACATTGAAAGTAACTGAATGTCTTAGAATGCAACTATGAAAAAATAGAAGTTAGTATGAGATACACTTAACCTTTTTATATTATTGTTTTGATATACTGGGTATAAACTTAAAGAAGCAACTCTATTGTCATAATACAGCTGCCAATACCTTGGGCATGGTAATGTAGACCGTAATAGCACTTTATAAAATGCATTTTGGGGGATTTTTTTTTTTTGAGACAGCATTTCTCTCTAGCTTTGGAGCCTGTCCTAGAACTAGCTCTTGTAGACCAAGATGTCATGGAACTCACAGAGATCCACCTGTCTCTGCCTCCCAAGTGCTAGGATTAAAGGCGTGTGCCACCACTGCCAGAATGTTAAAATACTTAATTTTTTTTTTAAATTAAGATTTGTTCTGTTGCCTGTTGCTCCTGGGCTCAATCAATCCAATAGTTCTGACTGTTTTTGTTTCGTGTGTGTCTGTTTGTCTGTATGTGCGTGTGTGTGTATATATGTGTCTATGTGTATAATGTATCTGTGTGTAAATATGCATGTTTGTGTGTATATGTGTATGAGTGTCTGTTTGTTGTATAGATTTTGGTTGTTTGTTTTTAACATCTATCCCCTACTAGATAACAATTCCAGTGGTTAGAAATCCTGTGTTTTGTTCTTTACCGGATAATCAAAGCCTTTTAGTTCTACTCTATCTTCAAGGGAATGTTATTAGCTGCACACAGTGTCACAGTAAGATTGCTTAGCAGCAGATGTTAAAGGAAGACGAAATCTGAGAAATATATACAGTCATCTCTTGATATTCTGGAGAAGTTGGAGGTAGCCTCCCTGTGGATATACGCCTTATGGAAGGTAGGCTAGTATTTACATGGAACCATGTGCATCCTGCTATATTTTAAAGTGTCACGGATTCTTTCTAATGCTAAGAACAATGGGAGTGCTCTGGAAATAATTGCTATTCTATGTTGCTTTGTTAATAATGACAGGGACAAAGCTGTACATGATCAGTACAGCTGTGACTTTTTAGACGTCTGCTTTCTTGAATTCACGGATTCAGAGCCGGCAACACCCACTGCAAGCTGCTGTGTATATTAGAGGTCCACACTGTGAGAGGTATGGACAACACAGCAGGAATAGGCAGTAGATTTTTGATTCGCCACCTCCAAGGGCAGCACTAGCACTTACTGAATGTGGACTTCTCTGAGAAGGAAGGCACTCTGGGCAGAGCTGTTCCCTCCAGCTGAAGCCGATGCTTGAGGCACTCTGCCACCACCATCAAGACTGTCTCTCATAGAGGAATTTGGTGACATGTCTTAATGCATATAACACATAGTGTCATCTTAACATTTTAAATTTGGTTACTGTTTTCTCACTTATGGGATGCTTGCCCTACAAGCTAATGGCATGGCAAGTAATCAATGGGTTCATGAGTGACTGACACACTCAAGTGCTTGCTCCAGAAGCTCTGCCTGCTGGAGATGAAGAGGCCTCCTGGCAAAGTTCTGTGACAGTCTCAGAGGTTTCTATTAGGCCCTGTCTCCCTGGGCACTGCCAGATTTGTTTTAATGTGAGGCAGCTGTTTTCACTCCCCAGTGGCTCCAGAGCTCATCATTCAGGAGAACTGGACCATGTTTGTTATGTGATGCACCTCTCTTTTAGCCTCAAGAACTCAGCCACCAGTTATTCGTGATTTACCTTTGTCAATCTTACACACAGATTTTCTTTTCTCTCCCATGCAGCTTGTCAAATCAAGGTCTCTGCTGTGTTACCAGTGAGGGTTCAGGGATGCCTCCTAGTCTCTAGCCCTGTGTATGCCCTAAACCTTACACAACTCCCTTGCTTTAAATGATGAGTGAGTCAGTTTGAACAGATGTATTTAAGCTTTTAAACATTTCATGTGTTCCCCTGCTGTGGGACAATGGTTTTACCCTGTAAAAATTTGTTTCTTGTACTTGTTTAATAAAATGCCGATTGGTCAGTAGCCAGACAGAAAGTATAGGTGGGGTAACCAGGCAGGAAGTAGAGGCAGGGTGTGAGAACAGGAAAATTCTGGGAAGAGGAAAGCCTGAGTCTGCAGTTGTCACCCAGCTGCGAGAAAACAAAATGGGAATCCCTCAATAACAAAGGTACCAAGCCATGTTGCTAACACAGACAAGAATAATGGTTAATGTGAAATGTAAGAATTAGTTAGTAAGACACCTGAGCTAATAGACCAACCAGTTTATAATTAATGTAGGCCTCTTGTGTGTTTCTTTGGGACTGAACGACTGCAGGACCGGGCAGGACAGAAACCTCTGTCAACATTCCCCTGCAAAACAGGCATTTGATATCTATGTCTTAGATTTGGAATGGGAATAAACAAATCACTATTTATGAGCCCCTGCTGTCATTTTTCAGCACTCAGAATGTACTTGTGAATAGAACAAAGTCTGCTCTCATGACGTTTACATTCTTGGAGATATGATATGCTG